AGCTGAGACCTGATGACATCAAGAATGGAGATTGCATTTACATGAATTGGCTGAAAGTAGTGAGTGTGTGAAGTTAACAAAGCAGTTTATTTTAAAAGTAGAAAAAGATCTTTTAGAAGTCACCCTGGTTCACATCCAAACCTTCAGAGTGGAAAGGGGACTGTGATCCAAGGTCAGATATGTTGTCAAGGTTGGAGCTGTGGGACTGCTTGTGGTGGTGAGGGCTTCTGTCCCTGCTCCTGCTCCTGCTCCTGCTCCAGCTCCTGTGGCGCTTGCTGTGAGATGTGCTGCTGTGCCTGTGTCTGTTGCTGTGGGTGCTGCTGCATCTGTGGAAGTGGGTGTTGGGTTCCTCAGGACTTCAATTTCTCTTGCATGATGATCAGCGACAGCAGGGCATTCCTCATGTACATGAAGGCCAAGTATGACAAGATGTGGTGGAAGAGGCCACAGGGCGATGGCGGCGGTGATGACCACAGCAACAAGGGCAACAACAATGACAACAACAACAACAACAACAATGACAATGACAACAACAGATCCTCTCCTCCAGTCTTCATCACTGGCCCAATCTTGCACACACAATTGGTGAAGCTGCCCTCAGGTGGCCTCCTCAAGCAGTTCAAGATCCTTCACCAGCACACAAGTGACCCAGAGTGGATCCCCTACATGGACCTGGTGCTTCCCTACTCCAAGGCCTTCCTCCACTTCAAGCAGGAGCAGGACAGGCAGAGGATAACCAACTTTCATCAGCGTCAGCATCTGGCCCAGGCTGAGGAAGACACTGAGGATGGTGATCCTGAGGAGGCAGTGGAGAGGAGAGACAAGCACAAGAAAAGGGCCAAAGCGAAACAAGAGGTGTTCAGGAGGAAAAACATCATAACACTTGCACTGCTGTTGCAGCAGCTGCAGGATGAGTAGAAGAAGAAGCCTGATGCTGAAAGATAGAGAGATATATATTCCTGTATGTGATGTATAATGTTACATGAGACAAAGAAAAACATGAGTTGTTTTTTTTTTTAATTTGCACTCTTGCACTCTCTTGCTCACTTGATTTCTCACTCATATGAGGGACTCATGCTCTTTCTCTCTCTCTCTCTCTATCTATCTATCTATCTATCTATCAATCAATCAATCAATCTATTTCATTGGACAGAGTATATGTATATGTAGGGGGCATGAAGAAAGCTGCTTGTGACAAGGACCACACCCTAGGGTGTGGCATGTATGACATGGGTAATCACAGAGCAACTGAACACAAGCCACAACAATCTAAAATGGCAGTCACAGCTCTAGATGTGACACTAGCCACACCCTAGGGTGTGGCAACCTGTCATTTTGGACACATGCCAATAGTCAAATATTTCAAGTATGCACACATATTTCACATTCTTTTCCTCATTCTTTGCATGTTTTGCTTTGCGTCCTGTGTGGTTGTTGTGTGGTGGTGGGCAGCAAGCCATACAAACAACCACCAGCCTAATCAAGGCAAGATGGTATTAGGTATAGGCTGTGCATGTCATGCATCCCTCCACACGCCTAAGGGCTTTTCATGCCCAGAGAGAGAGGGTGGGGTCACTTGCTGTTTTTGCTTTTTGTTTCTACTCTCCTTGCACCAACACACCTCAACCACTGAGCAACATGTGTGCCCAAGATTGAAGGAAGCTCCTCCTTCTCCTTTCTCAATCTCTCTTGTCCCCCAAGCAGCGCCCATCCTACATGCCACCACCACCACCACCAATGGCTGACAACAACAGCACCCCACCAGTATTTGCCACCACAGACCTCCATCTTGCTTTAATTTCTTGTGTGATTTCAAGAGATTGCGCTCATCTTTACACTTGCCCCCCCCCTCTTCAAAATTGTTTCACAAGCAGAGGAAGAAACAGCTGGCAAAACACAAGCAGGCCAGTCTGAAGTTAACACCAGCTTCACCTTCATTGTCACGCTCAAGCAGCCAGCGAAAAGACTCATCCACACCCACAACACCAGACCGCCACAGTGGCAGACAGCTGGTTGAGCAGCAGGACAAACCAACTGATGAGGTTCTTGCAGAAGATTCACAACAGCTCTTCTCACAGCTGGACAGCTTCCCCAGCCAGCAGTACAACCCAGAGGAGCAGAAAGAGGATGAAGCTGACAACAATGACCACAACCACAATGGCAGAAAAGATGCCAACCATGAGAACAAAGCGCTCCTGCAGCAGCAGGTACACTGGCCATTCTTGTGTGTCTGTGTGAAGATGAACTGCCACACCCTAGGGTGTGGCAATATCAGTGAGATTTTAAAACTGATTTTGATTTTGTGTGTGCACACACACACACACACAACCAACACATGATACAGGCCACATGGGAATGGTGGAGCTAAAGAAATGCTACACTGAGCTGAATCACTGCATCAGACTTGATGACATGACTGTTCATGGTAAGTGAGTGCCACACCCTGGGGCATGGCTATGGAGTGGTGTGTGCATTATATTGGTCCTGTAGATGCCACACCCTCAGGCATGGCAACATTTAAAGCATTCTCACATGTTATGGAATTGGGTGAGAGAGAGAGTGTGTGTGTGTGTGTGTGTTAACCACCATTGTGTCAACTCACACTATTCATTTATAGGACAATATCACCAATGCACCAAATCAGGGCTCAAGTGAACACTCAAGTTCCTTGAAGAGGCCAGTGGCGTTTTCAACAACAAGGACTTCCTCCTGGCTGAGAACAAGCCACCCACCAGCAGTGACCAGGAGGCCAAAGGTGATAACACCACATATACAATCCTCAGAGGTAACCACAGGATTTCAGTACACTACTTCTTGCTACACAAAGCCCTTGAACCCTTTCTACCTTCATATTTGTGTGTGTGTGTGTGTGTGTGTGTGTGCTTGTGCATGTGCAATGCAAACACTAACCCTTGAACAAACACTCACACACTGTCACAACCATCAGGTGATAAAAAAGTATCAAAATCACAAGAAGTTCAAGGACATCATCAACCTTCCCTGCAGGGTGGTGCCCTGGGCTCATGTGGTGCACCTCAGCCCAATGGACCGCCAGCTCGTCTACTTGAAGCTTGCATGGATGGATAATGCCAACACCAATGAGGGCTTCACAGTGGAGAGCTCAGAATTTGAGCACTTCCTCAGCACCATCAAGACAATCTTCATGCAGCCAGTCTTCCACAGCAATCCTGAAGATCTCACATTGAATCTCAACTGGCAGACAATCTGCCAATACCTTGTACAGGAAATATCTACAAAAAAAAAAACACACACACACACACACACATGCGTCCAGCTATGTTAGCATGCACTATCACACAAA